CTTTTTTCATGGTATACAAAACTGATAACTTGATAATCGTACAAATCCTTTTTTCATAATTGGTTGCACAATTATCATGAGAATTTTTGTAAAGCTTTAGTAAGAAATCATCAGAAAGTAATATTGATCTGATTTTTATAATAATAGTATGAATATTGTTACAAAAAAAAATTGAATATGTTTTTAATGTAAATGAAATCCAAAACAAGCCATTATCAACGGGAGAGAGTTCGTATAAATTAAATCCAGAACAAGTATGTTGTATATTCCTGTCATAGATCCAGAATATGATAAATAAATAAAGGATAAAACTGCGCAAATTTTACAATAAATTTTCAAAGGGAGGATTTCAACAACAAAAAAGTTACAATGTGAGGAAGAGATTATTGAGCTAAAAAAAATAGGCAAAAGCGTAGGTCATAAGAGAAGAAAATGAAAAATACCAAAAAACTTGCATATCAAATCTATGTTTCATAAGTACTCAACAGTCAACATTACACACTCATCCAACCCCCCACTCAATTATCAATCAAAAACTGAATAAACTCCGACGTTGTGATGAAGGCCTTTTAACAAAAAAAAAAAAAAAAAAAAACTCCGACGTTGTGAGTGTTGTGACAGCTTATTTTTTTCAATAATTTATCTTTTTGATTAAATGAACGGATGCATTGTTTTTTTTTTTAATCACTTCAGTCTTCATGATTTTTGTTGGTATCATTCTGTGCTCCAATATAATGTTCGATGTACCCCTTCCAATATAAATCCATTAATAAAAAAGAAAAAAAAAACTTCCAATATGTAATATTATAGACTTTATAGTGTCGTAAATTATACTGTGGTAGACATTTTTATGGCCGATATGATCTTAAACTAGTAAAATAATTACAATGATACAAAGCAGCAGAGACCATCTTTATTTTCTTACAATCCGCGAAGGTTTCACGTGACACTTTGCTTCATGTTTCATTCAAAAGTTCTTTAACCTCGTTTTGATTTTTTTTTTTTTTTTTTTTTTTTTTTTTTTTTTTTTTTTTTTTATAAATTAGCCACATATGTATTAGGGAGGCTTCTATCAAACCAGCTCTTGTATTTTCGGTTGTAGTTACAATTTCTCTTACTATAAATGCATTTTTCCATTTAAAACTACACATTCAGATTCTTCCTCATATTCCGATCTCGAGAGGAAACAAATACCAGTATGTCCAAATCGGTTCGTGGTGACTTCTCTGCCAACATTAATCCAAATTCGAATTGATATCAAAACTATAAATTGGAGTTGAAAATATATAAATGTTATTGTTAGGGGAGGGAAAATAAAGATTATCGTATTTATATTTATTGCTTATGTACGGATTTCCACTTGCGTGCCTTTGAAGAAGAAAAGAAAACTGAACCTGACTGTGAATAAGAAATGGTTTGTAGTTACCCTTTTCTTTAGCAAAACGATAAACTTTAAAGTTCTCCAGTACTTTTCTTAAGGATTACGTTACATTTCTAGACTTTAAATATGAAATTATATAGTATGTACGTGAATAGAAAATTGAGAATTATGCTTTTTGATCCCAAAACCAGTTTCTACATTTTCTATTTCTTAAACTATTATATCGACCACACTTGTTGTAAGATACATATTCATTGAGAACTCATAGATAAAAGATTGGTACGTAAAGGTATATGATTAATGATATAAGATAGCAGTGAATTTTAAAGTAACCAGAAGAATAACAATGGCTTAATTTACCATTAGTATATTCGTCCATTTGCTCAACAGTATCTATGGTGCTATGTGAAACACTGAAACTTTGCCAATTGCGATTATTTCCAAATTCATTGCTAACAAGTGACCTTGGAAATCATTTTGTACCTTCAAAAGTTTTAGAATAGTTTGACACATTGGTAAACTTTTTGAATAAAAATGTCTTTTTCGATTCTTATTATCATTTTCGTTTAATTCTATTTTTCATTATTTTTATTTTTGTTTATAGGAAAGAGAGCTTTTGGTTCTTCGGCACTATTGTTTATGAATATAGCTAAAAAATAACTGGCAGCGAACTAATTCGAATTAAACCAACCGAATCAAAGTAGAAAGTTCATGGAGTTTGATACACATATATCTTGTGGAAGAGAGCTAAAAGAGAATTCGATGTATAAGAAAATTAACAAATTAAATTTAAAGGTAAATATATGTCTGTCATCAGTCATCACTTCTGACAATTTCTGTGCTTCAGGTTCTCTCTGCTATTGTAAAATCCAATCTCTCTCAGTGGTCCTTTTTAGAAAAATTTCTCCATATTTTGTTATTATTAACTTAATATATATATATATATATATATATATATATATGCACAGTTAATGAGAAAACGAGTGCTATAGAAACTAGAAAGTGGAGGACAACCCACAATTAAAAGAAAACAATCATCTTCATTATCTTTTGGTAAAGAGAAAACAAAAGATTAGTTATTTTGTTTTGATTTTTCAGTTTTATGTTATTTTACCAAATGCAAAAATTTGAATCCAATTCATGCAAACTTCAAAAGATTAGTTTAAGCTTAAGAAGTAAAATAAACTTGTATATTAAGAGAAAAATCTAAAACACCAATTCAACTTTCACCAAACAATATCAGACAAAAGCCCAAAAAGAAAAACACCGGAAGAAAATTATTTCTTTAGAGGTGTGTGTGTTGTTTGGTACTATCCTCTTTCTCTTCAGATTTTTCTACAAAAAAAAGTACTCACATGTCTGCAATCAAATTTTCTTTTCAAAAAAATTCTTCCTTTTTTTGGGACGTTAGTGCAGGACATGATAATAATAATGAACTCAGAACAGCATCATAGACCACACTCTCTCTCTCTAAGCTTCAGATCTTCTTTTTACCTGAGTTAGGTCACAGTCACAGGAGTGCTTGACTTGCAAAATTTAGGGCAAAAAGAAGAAACTATAGTACAACAATAATTCACCACAAAAATGGTAACAAAGAGATGACCAGACCCATTCAACTCTCTGCCACTCTCAGATGTAAAAGGAGATTATTTCACTGCAAATATGTTCCATCACCACCTCTCAACTCAAAACGATCACTCTTTTTTTTTCTTTTCTTTAAACCATGTGAGTGTGATTTAACTGTTTCCTAATCACACTCTCTTTTGCTAATCATTTAAACTGGAATTGTTCCAATTATTTTGTCAAAAATCTACGACTCACAAAGTCACAATGGTGGTAGGGTCTAGTGAAGAGACACTAAAATATTAAAAAAGAGGGTTTCTTTTATAGCCACAGAAACTTAAGATGCTGATCTAATAGTGATCATTAAGGTTGAAACAATGGTATGTCCTTGTTTGAAACTGGAATTGTTCCAATTATTTTGTCAAAAATCTACGACTCACAAAGTCACAATGGTGGTAGGGTCTAGTGAAGAGACACTAAAATATTAAAAAAGAGGGTTTCTTTTATAGCCACAGAAACTTAAGATGCTGATCTAATAGTGATCATTAAGGTTGAAACAATGGTATGTCCTTGTTTGCTCTACAGGAAAGAACCATGTGAACTCATAATATAAAAAGTTTTCCAATGGTGGGCATTGTTCTTCATGTACCATCCTACTTTGTGTGCCTCTACTTTTGCAGCATACATAAAAACCAAAGAAAACAACACATACCCAATCCCATAATTGACTACACCCTCATAAATGATCTTTGGTTCCAAAACCGATTGGTTCTGTTTTTGGGTTTATTTGGTTATTACCAAGAACCAATCCAAGAACCAATATGGTGGATGAAAACTTTAAACGAGAGATTGTTACCGAGAGAAGGTCATGTCAATTAAATTTTGAGATAGGTCGCTTTACAACTCCTTGCCATCTACGTTTGTCTCTGTTTTCTCATTCTAATCCAAAAGAGTTTCCTGCAGAAAATGCTGACACATAACAAATTCTGTCAGCGATAATTGAGCATGTTTATGATGTCAAAATCAGTCAATCACATTCACACTGAGCTTCTGAATTTCTAAAGAAAAAAGGTAGATGGGGAATATTTTAGAAGGTGAAAAGGATATTCAAGAAAAGAAAACAATCTTGGGAGTTAATCATACATCTTCAATAATAGCTATAGCTATTATTACATCCATCTCTCACCTAGTTTGCTCCACGAGTGTAGAAGACAGTCTCTTACATATTGCAGAAGTGGGTCCAGTTTCCTGCAACCTTAAACATTCTAAGTTACTACTGAACCTTGTATGTACTTAAATTACCTGTACAAACTGGTACCTATAAGCCTATCCCTATCAAATGCATAACTTTTACCAAAACTTAACCAAAAAGATGAAATTACCAAACCAAATCCAGCCTGAAAGAGACAGAGATTCGAGTAGAAATCTTGCACACGAGCTTGGAAAATGTAAATCCAAGAAAGGGAAGCTAATGAGAATGCAGAAGCCAATAGTAGAATGAAATCTCTCTGGCAAATTTAGCAACGGTTTTCTTTTTTCTGACAGATCAACAAAAGACTCTGTAACATAGTACAGAACATGTTGGCTAGAGAGCAAAGAAAACGAAAGCCTACTCATAGCTACGAAATATTCCCCAAACGAAGAGGAACCACAAATATTAACATGTTCACAGCGACGCACAAACATCTAATCAATCACTCATATGGTCTCCCTCCCAACACTCCACATGCCATTGTTTTTTCCCTCAATTAATCTTTACCAAGATTGAAACAACCGAGAGATGTTAGATATGGTAAAAATCTGTACAAAAATAATCTTTGGTAAAAAGTCATATTTAGGCATCAATGTGAAAGGTTTAGCCTTCCGTATTACTTCATCGTTTTCTCTGATCAAGCATTTCCATGGAGCAGCAAGAATTATGTAACACAAGATTTGATGACACAGAGTGATCTTGCTACACAATTATGAAACAAAAAGGGACAAAACTTTGATTCATGAACAAAGAATTCTTGGTCTCAATAAAATAAACACACGAACAATACAATCTAGTAATAGATTAGGGGATTTGCAGTGAGCTTGGAAGATAAGGGCACAATAATTGGAAACTCGTTATGTCCATAGCTTGGCCAAGATCCAGGGTTTTAAGGTATCCATTATCCCCAATCACGTAAGCAAAGTGGCTGCGACCTCTTATTCTATCAAGAACCACCGCGACCTTGTTATCCTCGTCAACGAAGAAACTCAACGGGTGTTGCATCATCCACGGAGGACGAGTCACTCGTTCGATCACACAAGCTAAGAGCAAGTTTCCCCACGAGACTTGATCAGGCTCAATCTTATTAGTAATCCATATCTTGATAACGGATCCAACCGCACCGTCGTACGTCAGAAACAGCACCGCAAGCTGCTCTTCTCTAACACTAGAAAGAGTCACAGTGTCTATAACGCAACCGTTGAAAGGCAGAGGCAGACGCGGTCCAAGTCTCTCCCTTTTGAAATCAAACGAGAGTAGGAAATCGGGGTTATCTTTTGGTATCGGTCCTGAATAATGTACTGAGATCTCCTGGTGAGCGTACCAGTAAATGTTGCCCTTGAGAGACACGCAACCGTGTCCATGCGGAATTTCCCAGTCCGGAGAGATGATGTCATCAACGACCTTCCATGAATTGGACTTTAGACTGTACACCTCAAACTCGCAAAGATTTTGCGTAACTATTATCGGCCTGCGAGGTGTGGTCTGGCGCACTCTCACAAATCTCAAGACTTTCGTGTCCTCCTCGTCGTGTCCGTATCCGAGAGCGTACTTCTCATATTCGTGGTGAGATTTGCTGGGTTCGATCCACCTCGCTTGCCCCAGAGGAGGGTTCCAAAGAAGAAGCTCTGTTTTCTCTTGGGTGGTGGTGATGCATAATAAGTAGAAACCCTCGCAGTGTAAGATATTGGATATTTTGAGTCCATCTGCTGCACGGAGATTACCAATACGCTCCATCGTTGGATTGAGGAGATCACCGACATGGACGCTCATCAAGGAGACTCTACAATCCAGCACCATCACCACCTCAGTCGCAGTGCCCTGCTTCCTCTGCTTCCTCTTTAAAGAGCAAAAGCTCTCACCTTTCGTTAAAGTGTTCCACTTTTTGCAGGTCGATCGCAGTTTCCGCAGACATGTCACTGGAACCCTAGAGAGCACCTCCTCCTCTAGTTCAATTGGAAGCAGAGAGAGCATCTTCTTCGGAACCAATCTCCCAAATCTCTGTTTTCCGGTCCCGTCTATCAATCACTTCACCGCCCTTCCGGTCTTTCTTTGGTGAGAAGTTAACTTGGCGCTTTTCTTTTGATTTGGGCTTTACAGTAATGGATCTAGGCCCATTAAGCTCTCTTTGAGAACTTGAGATTAGGCTAGGCATTTTACTCGGACCGAAGAGATGATATCATCAATCATCTTCCATGAATTGGACTTTAAACTGTACACCTCAAACTCACAAATTTTCTTGCTTGACAATCGGGGCGTACGTACTCACAAATCTCATGACTTTCTTCTCCTTGTCGTAGCAATTATGGGATTGGGTATGTGTTGTTTTCTTTGTTTTTACTCAAAACTCACTTCAAAACACAGACTGGTTCTGTTATTGGGTTTATTTAAGAACCAATCCAAGAAGCAATACGGTGGATGAAAACTTTACGCGAGAGACTGTTACCGTGAGGAGGTCATGCAAATTCAATTAACTTTTAACAACCAAACGTAGCCTGAAGAGACAGAGATTCGAGTAGAAAAACCTGCACACGAGCTTGCAAATGTAAATCCAACAAAGGGAAGCGATTTAGAATGCGCAAGCCATTGGTTGAATGAAATCTCTCTGGCAAATTTAGCAACCGTTTTCTTCTCTGACAGATAAACAAAAGACTCTGTAACGCACACCTTTCATGATTCTTGAGGAGATCAGACTCTGTTTTGCAAGTTTGAAAAACAAAACATTTGGGATAACCATGACCACAAATCACCAAGAACACATCGTTTTCAATACCAGATACGGAAAGGGATAAATCCAAATGTACATCATCCGTATCCATTGAAACAACAACAACAACAACAACATTTTGGTTGAATGAAATCTCTCTGGCCTGGCAAATTTAATCATGTACTTCTAGTGAAAGCTGCTTTGCTGGAAGCTTTTCAGGTGTGAGATATTCCAGCTTTTGCCTTCTCTGGACGTTCTGGTAGGTCTTCTAGTAAAGAGTTCTCCTGTTGTAATATAAAGGAAAATAAGACTGTTTTAGTTTCTGAAACATTAATCAACGGCATTGGCCCTGAGAGATAGAGAACATTATTATTTACCATAGAAAAATCTTCAATAGTAAGCTCAATCTCAATCTCAATCTCGTATTTTTCCAGAGAGTTTGCAGACCTTGTCAACCAAGCCAAGAAGGCCAGACTTCTTTGCAGAAGCTTTATGGAGAAAGATATGCTCGACCTCTGACTCTCACTCATGTTTCAGCTTCATTTGCATGTAATTAAGCAAGTCAAGAATCGTGGTTTGGATTCTTGTTTCAATAAAGCAGAATGGATGTTTCAATAGCAAACCTGTTTCAGTTTAAAATCACGGAAAGGCGAGTAGTGAATTGTAATGAGAGGCGGGCTCCATCTTTAAGCACACAAAAACTTGAAAACAAAAAATCTTTGTAAGGAACAAGAGTGGGAAGATGGGAAAGGAAGCAATCCTAGCAGGCAAAAAATGACATGCTGAGATTCACTGTCAAGTCTCTCAATGTTGCTTACGATTCATGTGACTGCAAGAGGTGCTTCTTCATTATCATCCAACAACATCTGCAAGGTTATGAAGATCGGCTTGTTATTTATAATTCTTTGGCTGTTAAACTATATGAAGATCGGCTTGTTATTTATAATTCTTTGGCTGTTAAACTGAGAAGAGAAATAGGACAATACCTGAAATACAAATGTATATGGAAAATTCTTCGGAAAGTATTTTGCAGCGCCAACATCAAGTAGTTTACACAGATGCTGGTTTTCAGCAGTCAGCTGGAATGACACGCGTAGCTGAAGTTCCTGAAGTTCCAGCCATCAAACACATACACTCAAGAGATTTAGCTACAAGAATGCACCATCCAGATCAGACTTGTATGTGCAAAGATGGTACTTTAGTGACAGGCACTTGTCATGTTGTCGAATAGATTTTTATGCTCCTAGAGCAGACTTGATGGAGACAAGTCACAATCTTACACACCAACACATGAATTTTGAAAAAAAAAGAATTCATGCAAGGTGTTATAAGGTGCATAGCTACATACCACAAGGCCATGGAAGAATTTATCAAGCATACCAACTCTGAAAAATTAATACAACAAGATTAGTTGAGACTCAACATATAATTATTTGAATTAATGTTGTAGGGATGAGTTTCAAGTTTGGATTAGGTTATTTACACATCTTTTCAATCTGAAGGAATAATTGTTGTTCTCGCTATGGTTTGTTTGGATATGAAAGAAACTAAACCAAGTTGGTATAGTGTCTTTAATATGGTTTTTGCGCGGGTAAACCGGATTGAACTTATTTCAGTCCTCCTCTCTGTTTCAATCTGGGTGTTATATATTAGTCTTTGTCGTGGGCTATAGTAACGCTAACGCGATTTAGCTTGTCTAAGGTCTTGTTCTGTTAGTGTGGATGCATATGCTTAGGAAGTTGGCACACAAAGAGACACTACAGTTTGTAATTTAGTTAAAAGTTCTGTTTTGTTGTATGGTGAAATAATGTATAAATTATCTGAATAAATGGTTTTGTTGGTGGTTTTGTGATGTGAAGCAAACGACCTTAACTTTACACACAAGTAAAGCAAATCAAAACAGACATATTACTCCATGTAAACAGTTGCGTTTTCTTTACACACAAGTGATGAGTATGTGCATCAGTCTGAGTCTTCCTCAAATAAAACAAGTAAGGAGTCACTCTTGTTCTTATGTTCTCTTCTTCTTCTCTTGCTTCATTAGCTGCACCGATTCCTCTTCGGCTGTTGCTCCAGCCTAATCGCTGCTGATATATTGAGTCGTAAGCCTCCACAAAACGGTGTGTTCTCGCCATTAAGAAGGGACGAGCTGCCTCTGCGATGGCCGATTTGAATTGTTCTTGGTTTGTCTCTGCGCTTCTTGCTTCTTGTTTATGTCTCTGTTCCCTTCTGAATGAGAGAAGATTAATGATTGAATCATATACATCTTAAAACGCGCATAAAAGATGTTTGCATGTTTGAAAACTTCTACTTTGATCAACAAAACCTTAGCCAATCAAAGAGTAACTGGATCAAAGAATTATAGGTCTTGAGTTTGCCTCGAGAGTTTTACCTTTTACAGAAGGAATCCATGACTCCAACCAAATGATGCAGAACAATATTTAACATATCTTCCTCCTACAGAAAGAGGAAGAAGAAATAAAGCAGACAAAATTTGGTTGTTCAGAAGAACTGGACAAGAAGATAACAGCACAAAGAAAGAGAGATCTGTAAAAGGGATTGCAAGCGTACCTGCATCAGAGCTTGAAGCTCCCTTATCAACCGATTTGGCTGGAGTATCTTTTTCATTTTTCCAAAGCCGTTGAACGTCAAACACGTCAGCAAAGAAACCTGGTTTAAGGCCACAAAAAGATGAAGAGGTAAACTTTAAATTTCTTTGTGGACTGATTATAAAACACATTTTACTCTACTGATAAGGGTGTTATATCAGTTTCATTCAAAAGTAAATGAAGCAACATTATCATGATCTATCGTAAATTATCAATTATAACTTTAAACGAGAGATTGTTAGTTTGTTACCGTGAGAAGGTCATGTCAATTAAATTTTTGAGATAGGTCGCTTTCCAACTCCTTGCCATCTAAGATTGTCTCTGTTCTCTCATTCTAGTCCAAATTAGTTTCCTGTAGAAAATGCTGACACATAACAAATTCTTTCAGTCATAATTTAGCATGTTTATGATCAATCAATCACATTAACACTGAGTTTCTGAATTTCAAAAAAAAGGTAGAGAGAGGAATATTTAGAAGGTGAAAAAGATATTCAAGAAAGAAAACAATCTTGGGAGTTACTAACCACCATACACCTTTCATTTCAAGTAGATACAGCTATTATTACATCCATCTCTCACCTAGTTTGCTCCACGAGTGTAGAAGACAGTCTCGTACACATTGCAGAAGTGGGTCCAATTTCACATGTATCTCCTGCAACAGTCTCTATTGAGAGTCAAGTTACTACCGAACCTTGTATGTACTTAAATAACCTGTTCCAACTGGTACATATAAGCCTATCCCTAGCAGACGCATAACTTTTACCAATATATGAAATTACCAAACCAAAGGCAGCCTGAAAGAGACAGAGATTCGAGTAAAAACCTGCACACGAGCTTTGAAAATGTAAATCCAACAAAAAGAAGCCATTAGTAGAATGAAATCTCTCTGGCAAATCTAGCAAAAATCAAAAGACTCTGTAACACAGTACAGAACATGTTGGCTACACTAAGAAAGAGAGCAAAGAAAAAGAAAATCTACTCATAGGTGTGAAATGTTCCCCAAACGCAGAGGAACCACAGATATTGGCAAAGCATAACATGTTCACAGTGACGCATAAACATCTAATCAGTATCACTCATATGGTCTCACTCCCAACACTACACATGCCATTGTTCTGCCATCAATTAATCTATTTCAAAGCTCGAAATAACAACCGACAGAAGTTACGTAAAATCTATACAAATTTAAAGCAAGGAGACTATATTCATCCGCAAGTTCGTTGTTTCAAACAATGTAGATATAGGCATATAGCTCACAGATGATCTCAGATCCTTTGGTAATAAAGTCATATTCAGGTAACAGTAGCATCAGTGTGAAAGGTTTAGGCTTTCGTTTTCTTCTGATCAAACATTTTCATGGAGTAGCAAGATCTCTCATTATTCACATTCAGGATTATATAACGCAAGATTTCATACGAGAGCCAGCAGTGAAACAAAAGGGACAAACTTTGATTTCATGAACATAGAATTATTGTTCTCAATGTAATCGAACCAATTTTCAATTTTTGGATTTCACATGTCACAAAAATTACAGTAAGAATATGAATCAACATTTGATACCAAACTGATGAAACAACATTTTAGATACTTTTTTTTTTGTTTTACCTCCAAAAAAAGATCTGTTCGAAATCGAATGTCAGAAACCGAAGAGCAAAGAGAGCTTCGAGAATGCCCAAGCAAGCACCAGCAGCTACGTCGAGCACGTAATGTCTCCCTAAGAGGATCCTTGAAACGGCGGTCACTGTTGCCCAGATCCACACACCCACCACAACATTTCCCTTCACATCGCCATCACGGTGATCTCTGATCCATCCGTCTAAGAAAGTGTAGCTTGGATCGGCCATGGGAGCTTCTACGACAGAAGTAAAGAAATGAACTGATGCGGCAACGAAGAAGACGCGGGAGGCGTGGCCGGAGGGAAAGGAATAGTGATCAGCGGATACGGCGGCGGACATTGATGGATGATTGTAAGCGGGACGAGCTCGACGGAAGGTTAGCTTCACGATTCCGACGAAGATTAGATCGAGGAGGAGGCCGAGGAGGAACGGGATGAGGAAAGGTCGTAACGGAGGGGAGAGGAGAAGGGAAAGGGACACGGGGAAGGAGAATCGGAAATCGGCGGAGATCTCGAGGAGTAGGAGGAGAAACGGTGGGAGTAGTGGCTTCGCCGCCGTGTGAATCGCGCGAGACACGGCGGCGTCCACCGACAAGATGGGACCGATGAGAAACGTCGATTTCGCCGGAGACATAATTGTCAACGTATCACGCAATGCGAAAACGACGACGTTGATAAGTAATCCACGATTTTTTAACACAAAAAAATAAGAACACAATTATATAAGGAGAAAACGACGTCGCTTCGTTAACAAGAGACTAAATTATCTTGCGCCTTTTTGTGTATCTAGCCCATATACCCACTACCGTGACAACCAAGTAATAGATCGAGTTGAATGAAGATGTTTGTGATTAATGAATACTGAAAACTAGGACTTGTTACAATTTCAATGAATCTCTAGCATTAGCATGCATGTGTTTCATATATGCAAAGTGACCTTAAACCAACAATATTAATGTTATTGCCTAAAAAGTTTTGAAGATGAATTTTGTTTTCTTGTTTTTTCTCTCCCTCCCTTTTTACAGTATTTCGTAGATATATACAACATACCAAGAATTTTTCCTACTTATTCCCTTACCTTATTGCTTCACTACAGTAAATCTGAATCACTTTAATGCTTTTTTTTGAACAACTTATCACTTTAATGCTATGTTTTGTTAATCTCTTGTTGGGAATTCGTACCTGATTGCGATATGTACAACATTCTATGGTAGTACTTACATTCACACATTGTTATAACGAAAATACTGTTTGCGATTCGCGTTATTTGTGCTAAATCATAGCCTTTCTATTTAAGGCAATGACTGCAAATATGCTCTTAGCTTGGAGCAGTGGAGGAACATTTACTCTGTACACTAATATATTCGAAATCCACTAAGTAACGGACCACATATGCACACAATTCAATACGCTTTTCACCAAATTATTTTGCAACTTTAGAACTAAAAATAAAATAAATTATTCTTTTTAAGCCAAATAAATGGAACTTTATTAATATCCATCATTTCATTATTTTTTCTCTTCATTACACAAATAAGATCTGAATACAAGCATGAGCTCAAGAAATGTAACACAATTAAAATAACAAGTACGTAAGGTAGACCTTTTAACAACAACAAAAAACAAGTACGTAAGGTTCTTTTTCTTAAGAGAAACAAGCATGGATGATGAGTCTCGATTCTCGATTCTCCAAGTTCCGCTAATAACGTAACGTAACCGGATACTTGTCAACACAAGCTTCCCAAGGATTGTTCTTGGAAGGCTTCACATTCCTCAACGCTTCCCAAACGGCGCTGTTGCATTTAAATCCACTCCCAAACGCAATTTGCCAAACGCGATCGCCTCTTCGCATCCTTCCTTTGGCCTCAATGTAAGCTAACTCATACCAAGTCGAGCTCGAAGACGTGTTCCCAAACCTATGAAGAGTCATCCTCGCAGGCTCCGCATGAACCGGAGAAAGCTCAAAACCCTTCTCTATCTCATCGATTACAGCTCTTCCACCAGCATGGATACAGAAATGCTCGAAAGCAAGTTTGGCATCCGGAATATACAATTTAACCTTACCGTTGAAAAGCTTCTTCGCAAGTAGAGTCGTAAAGTAGAGAATCTGCTCACTTACCGGAAGAACAAGAGGACCCAACGTAGTGAAATTAGCTTTGAGAGTTTCCCCAGCAATCGCCATTAGATCTTTCGACAAGAAAACCCCCTTTTTCCCGGTATCATCCTCTCGCTGGTAAGCACAACCGAAAGCTTTGTCGTCTGCTCCACGGTGAGTCCTCACGACATGCACGAGCCTGTACTTGGCCCGTCTCTTTTCCCTAGACTTGTTCGACAGCATAACCGCAGCGCCACCGACTCGAAACAAGCAGTTCGGTACCAACATGGACCTGTTGTTACCGAAATACCCGTTGAGAGTAGTGTTCTCTGCCGAGACAACAACTGCGTACGTGTTCCTATGTAGCAACAGCATGTCTTTAGCAAGATCCACCCCGATAACCGACGCGCTGCAACCCATTCCACCGAGGTTGAATGTCCTGATGTTACTTCTGAGCTTATACTTGTTCACAATCATTGCGATAACGAAGGCGTCGGGCAAAAGATACTACAGTTCACAACGAGGATCCCAACATCCTTGGGATCCACGTTAGTGTTTGCGAAAAGGTTGTCTAAAGCACCGAACATGACTTGTTCAGCTTCTTCTCTCGCAGCAGCCATGGAGATTCTCAGTGGGACATGGATCATAGCTTCACAGACATACGTCTCTTCTCCTAAACCAGAGCGTTCGAGGATCATGCGTTGAAACTCGAGAGCAGCGTCGTCGAAATATCCGATTTGTCTAGCGTGATCGATGAACATAGTGGACGGAGCTTTGAGGTGATCAGGTGGGAGGTAGCAGGAGGAATCCACCATGTAAACCGGTCTGGGTCGGGTCATGACATAGACGGTTAAACCGGAGACTAGAACCGCCGAACAGATGGTTATAGTAACCACATTGGACTGGACATGGGTCCAGAGCTGGAGGAGATCGTTTTGGTTCATCTGAGACGCTTCCACGGAGATAACGACGGCGAGAGCGAGTAAACACAAAATCAAGAAATTCGAGACTAGGTAATGGTAACCTAACTTGAGATTCACGCTTAGGGTTTGTCGGTTCTGTACTTGAACAGAACCATCACCACCACCACCACCACCGCCGATTCGTAGTTCTCTGGCACCGTCCATGTTGGCCAAGGACAGAGATTTAACTTATAGAATAAGGTATAGAGATCGAATGCTGTGATTATCCAATCCAGGCGTCCTTTTTTTATTCTTGAGCTGCTGAAAGGGACCGTGAAGGACACGACTTTGACGATGACCCACCAACCATCCCGGGATCTGAAATACATTTATTTGAGGGCTGCCCACTTTCAGCGCCACTCACCACACCACACCACAGACAGTGGCTGTGGCTGTGGCTTTGCCAGAAGTAAGTTAATTATATTGATGCATTTATTTGACGGCTCCCGCCCACTCAGCCCCACAGGCGGAGCCATAGTAATAAATTTTCTTGGGTCAATTTTTTATATTAAATTTAAAACTATTATGTGATCGATATATACTACCCGAAAAAAAAACGTGTTTACCCCTAAATTAATCTTTTTCAAAACTCGAAACAACCGACAGAAGGTACATAGAGAGAAGAAGAATGTAAAATCTGTACAAACTAAAGCAAGGAGACAATGTAGATATATCTCGAAAGATGATCTCAGATCCTTGGTAAAAAGTCATATTCAGGTAACAGACCAGTAGCATCGATGTGAAAGGTTTAGCCTTTCGTGTTAGCGTTTTTTTCTGATCAAGAGCATTTTCATGGAGTAGCAAGATCTCTCATTATTCACATTAAGAATTCATACAAGAGCCTCTAGCGAAACAAAAGGGACAGGCTCTGATCCATGAACATAGAATTCTTGTTCTCCACGTAATCGAAACAACTTAAACTTTTTAATTTAAACTTTAATATTTTTTTTATTTAATTTAAAACTATAATCCATCTATGCTACAAAAAAAAAAAACTAGTTTACATCAGATAATTTGTATATTTGTATTAATTATAACTGATGCAAATTAATTTTACATCACTTGAATGACCAAAAGTGATGGTGCAAATAATCAACATCGGTTTACAGAATAAATGATGTTAATGTATGTATATATCACTTGTAAAAATGATGTTAATATGTAAATCAACTAATTTAGTATTGGGTTTCGGTTTATTTTAAATCAACACAATAACACCCCTTGTGTTACTCCAGGAGTTGACACATCTTTCTTAAGCAGGGAAAATGTGACACATCATTTAAAAGGTTTAGCCAATCAAAACATTTTAAATAATACCAGTCATCAAAATCTCGGTTTACTTGCCAGGTTTTCACCCGGTTTTTCTTTATTGATTTTCTTGGACCGATCGGTTACGTTCACTCGACCGGATACAACTCCGTTTCTTCTCCGACGCCGCCCAATATCACCCTTCCTTCTCCGACGGTTTTCCACAGGCTGAGGAATGATCTCGCCATCGAATCAATGGCTGTCAAGGAGCCTTCTTCAACCCCTTCACTTGCCTCTGTGATTTGCCGGTCGCTTGCGTACTCGAATACGCTCTCAGGCTACAACGTGCAAGTGTTCCTTGAATCCGGCGTTGTTCATGAAATCACTTGAAACTTCGAAATGAACCTTCGCCACCTCCTCAAGCAGGTTCCCATTCTCAATCACTGTCTATATAGCTCTCTTTCTCTCTCTCTCTCTCTTTGCTTATGTATCTAGGTGTGTGCATATGTATGTCCATAAACCACCTCATCAAAGCTAAAAGAAAATATTGTGGAAAGACTGGTTCAGATGCTGGACGAATCTAATTGGCTAGCTGGAGATGAATAACAGGAATTAGAGGATGTGGTTTCACATGTATTTTCATTTGTTGCTCTTCTTCTACTGATTTTTTTTTCTGGATGATTCTCCAGACCTTGAATCTCGAGTGCTTCGTTCGGCAGATGAGGGGAATGTGACGGTGCCGAATTCAAAATCAGCGACGATGCGTCTGGCGGAAGGAGAGAAGACGCGTAATCAGAAAAAGAAGAAGACCCAGAAACCAAAGATTGCCGGAGTTCCTTCAAAACAGGTAGTAACACACATAGTCAATCATCTCCTGCAATGTTAGATGGAATCCCATCTTTTGAATTGGACATCAATCGAAAAGCAGGTTGTAGGGGAGAAAGCAGTAATGGATGCAGAGCTTTTTGTCTCGTCAATATAATGGATGCGTTGAGGTAAGAACTTGACCAAGCCAAACAAGAAACAACCGGTTTGATCTCTCTAAGCTCTCAACACCTCACACTGATGATGATTTCTCTTTTGTTCTCATTCTTTTAATGTTGTTGCTTCTTTGTTTCCGATTTGAACAAGAAGTAATTGGGGAAATTTACTGTTTCTGCTTGGAAATGAAATTGACACTTAATCAAACTAAGAGATGTGAGAAGCGGAATCAAAGATATTTTCTTTCTTTTAGAGAATGTGATTTTAGTATGTGTGGGGAATGTAGATATAGAATTGTAGTTGGAATTTTTGGAATATTGGTCGCGAGATGTTTCACCTTGGATCATGTGGGTCTTATGGAAAAACAGAAATGTAATGCTCTTTGAAGGGAAGTCGTTTCCTCCTAATGAAGTTGTTGGCAAAGCTCTTAATGATGCAAGGCAGTGGTTTAACGTTCAAAGGAAGCTAGAGGCTGAACCAAACCGAAAAACAGAGACGATATATCAGTGGAGACCTCCGGATGAAGGAAGAGTGACAATATAGGTTTCTCATGGTCCAAGGCAAAGGCCACCTCGGGAGCATCTTGGGTGTTGCGTGATGCATCAGGCAATGTGCTTTGTCATAGCAGAAGAGGGCTTCTCCCCTGTTACCTCATGTTTCGATGCTAAGGTGAATTGTTGGGAATGGGCACTTCAAAGCATGCGAGATTTGAGATATCAGAATGTCACTTTTGCAGGATCAACCTTGGAAATCACTAAAGCTATGTTTGAACCACTGCAATGGTCGGCCTTAATGGGACATGTTGCAGGTTTATTGAGCTTTACAACGAATAAGATAGGTTGGGACATCAGCTATGAGGAGCCGAGTTCTAACACTGGTGACTTATTGGGGGACAGATTGAGTTCTTACGTAGCTCGTGGAGTACAAGTAAGTCTGTGAAGGTGATATGCTGACGACAGAGCTCTGCAGTTCTCTTATTAGTCTTTATACTTCTGTTTTTTATTTCGTTTTCGGGTGTGTCACACAGTTACCGAACTTTGGTGTTCCCTTTGCTCTTTGTGAGCTTTAAATTCAACTTAAATTCAGAGAAAACAAAAATAAGGGAAATAAAGCCGTGTAAGAGGAATATAAGTTAGACTAACTCTGGATTAATTTTGTAAATTGAATAGTTCGTCTGTGTGAACGAAAAAACTGTGGAAAGATTTGAAGTGTTTAGCAGTTCTGAAAAGGAGCACATTTTAAAGGCAAATAGTAAGAAAAAGAAAATGGTAAAACATGAACTTATTATAGGCTTGGTCAAATTTCCTATGGGCAATGATAACGATATTCGATATTTATCAAAACGAGTTATAAAAAAAACAATAAAATTAGATTTGAGATTTTGACATATGGTTTCTTCGGACACTTTTGAATAGAACTCTTTGAAGTATGATGGAGTTCAATTTTGAAAACAACCTATAGAAAAGAATGGCTAAAAAGGAGCTATTTATTTAAGGCACTACAAAACTGGTTCCAAGTAGAAAAAACAAAGGGTAGAGAAAGAAAGATTGAAAGAGAGCAAAGAACAATTTTTTCAAAGATATAAAGAGTAGAACATGAGAAATGAGACGTAATTTTTGTTTCTAAAAAATTAATTAAATATGTTATCATAAATTTATATATATAAAATATTTTAAAATATTAATAATTTGTTTATAATTCTGAAATTTATGAACAATTTTAACATCAAATCCCGCTGCGTAGCGCGGGTCAATTTCTAGTGATATCAAATATCTTCATCACTTGTTACAATAAAAGTGACAGTTAATTGATTTTCTACATATAGGAAGAAAATGGTGGATACATTCATCCCAAATTTCGGTTACAACTTACAACAATAAAAAATCTTGAGAAGTTTTTATTATACATGATCAGATATAAGAAGTCTTCGTTTGCAAAAAGAATCATGAATCAACAACGTAACACTTGATAACCAAAAGAAAAGTATACTTGTATGAACTAAAAAGATATTGATAGAAGTATTTGGCCTCTTGTTGAACTCCATCGTGAGAATGATCTCTTGTTTTTTTTCTTTCTTGGCCTGTCCTTTCCATTGGCAGAAGAAAGGTTGTAAGTTGATGCGTGATAAGAGAACCCATGAATGTTTGAAATATCTGAAATTTTTTAGTGTTGAGGTACCTTTACTATCCCAATCTGTCATCTGTGTAGGCATGGCTCTTAATTCCCAATATCATCATCATCTTATTTCTAGGTCACCATTCATGGCAGCTTTTGGAAGATTTGAAGAATATTGAAATCAAAATTACAAAGGAGAAAATTAAGATACGCTTCAGAAACATAGAAAAAAAAAGAGATATTTGCAGGTTTTGAATGTTTTCACAGGAGATTATTCTAAATTTTTTTTTAAAGATATTATGACATTAAGAAAAATAGTCAGCGAGTAATAAGGAGGATTCTGCATAAAAAAAAAAGGAAAATCTAAAAATCTGATTTGTTAGTTTTTAAAAAATGTGGGGATCTGAATATAAAATATTTTTGAGAAATCTGGATTTCAATTCCTAGAAGATGCGATTTATGCAGGTTATTGAAGGAAGGTTCGCATAAAGAAGGCAATAGCAGATAAAGAAAATTTCCAGCCATTAGATTCATATAAAAATAGATCTTGGTATAATAGTTAATTATCCGTTAATAATTGTCTTTGTAATTATCAATCTTAGACGTTATTAAAAAAATTATATATATATATTTAGATAAATTATGATTTGATCGCAGTTATAGTTTTTAGTTGAATTTGGTAGAATAGACATAGAAAACATAGACAGGTTTTAGAAATACCTTAAATAATTTAATTTGGATGTCAGCAACCCTTTTTTATTCTGTTTTTGGGAATCCAACTCAAATAATTTATTTCAAAATCTAGATTTTAAAAATGTGGCAATTGAATCGAGTGCAGGGGATGGAGTACATTTATTGCCTATCCACATATTTAGTTAGAAGTTTGAGATTCTCCATCACAATTTAATTTCCTAATTTTCTTGAAACTTTAAATACACAGAGTACAACCTATACAGTTATCACTTATCACTTCTTTCTTTTTTTCGTGTGGTCACTCCTATACAGTAAATTCACATTAACACACAACTATACTAAATTACATGATGGGGCGATTTGAACTAATTTAGTTAAAGCCCATTGAGCTTTATTGCTGATCTGTTACAAAAAAAAATTGCTAATCCCCGTCACCTCCGGCTAGTCACACCGGTGTTGGCTTTTATTTCCAAACTCGGACAAAGCTCTGATTTGTTATTAGTTATTACCAAAATTCGCCGGTGAGAAATCTGAGATATGTTATTCTGTTCTCATGATTTTAAGCTGGCTCATTTCGATCAATTCCGTAAAGTTTCTTCTTTAAGCAGCTTTTCCAATCTGGGTACCGCAATTTCCCCACTAACTTGCTCTAGAATCGTTAAAACTCGCATAGATCTACGGTTTGCTTAGCTTTAAGAAATTCTTGGTTCCCGAGCTTTTTAACAATTTTGGCTAAAGTGATCTCAGCGCCGTCTTTTTTTGGGAATCCAATTCTTGGAAGACTAAATCAGACCAAAACGGTGCCACTATCGACTGACAGTACCGAACAAAAAGTTATTAAACTTTAAATATAGTTTCAGTTTCTCTCGTCTTTCGCATTCTAATTAGGCTGACATCTTCTATACGTATCAATGGATCTACATCCTTAACAATATCAACACATATTAATACTCTGATTGATATGTTTCAAAAATAATCTCGCGTTATCGACATAAAAAAAAAACATAACTCCCCTGCTCCACAGCATGGGTCAAGATCTAAGTAGCAATTAAAGAAAGAAAAAAAAAAGTATGTGGCTGTGAGATGCAGCAATAGATCTACCTTACGTGCTAACAAAGGTATACCCGAGAGATGCATCAATTGGTTCTGATATTTTGTTGTTCAGTAGAGTTAGTACACAACGTAATGCTAGTGGATTTTGCTTTCCCCTACAACTAGCTAATGTTTCCAGTAATATCTTCTTTGATTTGGGTGAAATATCAGATCGAACAGAAAGTGTAAGAATTATGGCTTTGAATGGGAGCTGCGTTTCTTGCAAAAGCGGTGCGGTTTTAGTGATGTTATAGTGGGGTCCACTTAATTGTCACCAATCAACAAGTTTTTGTATCTGCGGTCCGTTTTATGTAATTAAATTATTAAACAAATCAAAGTTCATTTGCGGATCATTTTTGTGAAGGAAAACTACAATCCGCTCCGCCACAGTAGTACACATGGTTTTGGGTGTGTTTTGTACTTTTGTATGTGCGTTTTTATAGTATATTATATTTTAATAATGATAAAATTTTGAAACAAAATAATATAAATTGAGTATGTATGATATAAATTTAACTAGATTTTAAAATTATAAAAGAAAATTATATAAATTATTTATTTCTTCGTTAACTGTATTAACAAAATTAATTTATGTCTTTCACCAATCAAACATTATTTTGTATCGCTATTATATTATAACCGCAATTGTTTCGCAAGTTATATTGTTCCGCAGTTAAACTGTACCGCTTTTTCAATTTATTTTTCCCATACCGCTTAATATGTTGTCACCATTCGGAGCCTATGTTTTCATTTGAACTTTTTTATTTGTGAAATATGTAATCGTCTTATTTACGTTTAAGTTGTCGCCTGTCAGTGTATTTACTACTTCCTCAATTTCTCAAGTGTTGTTTTATACTTTTTTTTTGTTTTAGAATAAGTACTGTTTTAGGTTTTCAATATATAATTTATAAATTTTCAGTTTTAACCTCATTTATTTAATCAATTAAAAAAAATATAAATTTATTTATTCTATTAATTAAAAATATTGTATACATTTTAATATGTTTTCTTAATATGTACGTAAAAATCTTTAACAAAACTTATTATATAAAGCTGGATGCGCACGACGTGGTTGCGACACGTAGGATTTTTATAAAATTCAGGATCGCGACATGTGTCACTTTTAAGTTTATGTCCGTTAAGATCGTGACATGTGTCTTAGGAAAAAAAGAGAACTTAAAAAAAAAATTCCAGAAAAATGTTAATTAAAAAAACGAAATTTAATTTAATATATTATATCAAAAAGGAAAAAATAATATTTGTTATATCCAAACAGAAAAAGGTTTCCATTCATCAATTTTTTATTATATAAAGTTGGATGCGCACGACGTGGTTGCGACACATAGGATTTTTATAATTTATAAGATCGCGACATGTGTCACTTTTAATGTTACGTCCGTTAAGATCGTGACACATGTCTTAGAGAAAAATAATAATAATAAAAAATTTAGATAAAGGAAATTGTTTTTAAAAAATAATCCATTACAGTTAAAAGAAATAAAAATATATTTGTCATATCCTAATAGAGAAAGGTTTCCATTCATCAAATTAATATTATCCAAACAAATAATAAAATCAAAATAATGTAATAAATAAAATCCTATTTGTACATGGAATATGTTATGTAAACTAAATTTCCTATAACTGCATGTAATAGGTTACTTGAACCCTATAAAAGAGAGTCAAGATTTCTCAATCATAAATTCATCAAAACAAATTCATCAAATCCCTTTGATTATATTTCTCCAATTTAAAAATCATGTTTTTGAAAGTTTTGCGATACATAGGATTTTTATAACTGACAAAATTGCGACATGTGTTTTAGAAAAAAAAAATTCTGAAGTATGAAGATCGTAACATGTGTCATGGAATAAAAATAATAAAAAATTAATATGTATAAGACTAACTAAAAATTAGAAAAACAGATAACAAATAATTAAAATAAAAAAATAATATCCATTAAAAGTAATAAAAAAACAGGAAACAAATAATTTAAATTCTTTTGTTACATCTATTAAGAAAAGGAAAAAAAATCCATTTCGAAAAGGAAAAATACCAATATATAGTATTTATAATGGTCGAGGCAAAAAAAAATTGAGAAAGAAAAATATAAATAAAAAACTAACAAAATAATTATCAAGCAATTAACTAATATTAAAAAATTATAATTGATATTCTAATTTTAAATAGTTTGATTTTCAATTTTTGTTAGGTAAAAAAATTGAAATAAAGATTTCATCAATTAAAATCTCTTGAATGGAATAATAAAAGTTTGATTAATTAATCAGTTGATCAGATTTAGACATGTGTAAGTCTTTCTGTATTGGATAAAAATAATAGTAAAACAAATTAATTCATTTTGTCATATCATAAATTCAAAAGAAAAATCAATTACAATAAAAATGTAAAAGTATTACCAATCTTATTTTATTTAAATATTTTTTATCGGGTTTTCAATATTATTTTGTTTACGTTTAAAAATGATCAAATTTTGTTTAATATTTTCCATGCTTTTATTATAAAATCTTAAAATATACCCGCGTATACGCGGGCCTTAATCTAGCTTACTATAAAACAAAGGGAGTATTATTTTGTAAGGTTTTTTGACAAACCAACTTTTTCGTTAAACAACCAAATAAATTATGGTAATTGTTAATGTGTGAAGTTTAGACTTAAAATCTATCTACACTTATTAGTTTCTAGTAGTAAAATTTTCATTTTAATAGTAAACCAAACTAAATATATTATTTTGGTTTTTGAAACAGAAAATATTACATCAAACAAAAACAGAATTTTGTTAAACCGAAACATAATTCAAGCGACAAGCAAGGTTTCAGTTTTTCTTACAAAAAAATAAAACATTATATAATTTGCATTTCTTACAAGCAAGCATTATATACTTCCCACCTCAAAAAAAGACGAGGGAAAAAATACATAGTTTTATCTAGATCTAGACATAAAAATTGACTCAAAGGACTCAATTCAGAATCACGAAAAAACCCGGTTCTTGTTAGTATTGGTTTAGGTCTAAATCACATGTCGGTTACTGTCTTTTGATATCTATGGTTCTGGGGTCGATTCCGGTTATTAACCGAATACCCATGGGTATCAATTTAGATCCGACTTGTATTCTTTGTTCCTTGACTTTTAAACCTATGTCTTGTTTTTTTCCTTTTGTCTCTGTTTGGTGTTTTAAACCTTGAATGATTGAATATTTGAAAGTTCAAAGTTCAAATGAAACTTGTGTTGTATGGTTCAATCATACGAAGTTTATTTGGATTTTTATGGTTTAAAAGTGAGAAATTTAGGTAAAATCAGGTTAAAATGGATAAAGACAGTTAAAATGAAACAAACCCAAATCCGAATGATATCCATAATTTTTCGGATATTTTACAGTTATTAACAAACGAGAACCGTTAGACCCGGACGTGAGAGGAATTTTAACAATTCCTATTTGGATAAATAAACAAAATAAATCAGGAACCGAGAGACCGAGTGGGAACTGACCCGAATATCCATATACCCAAGCTTAGTTTTATCTTTCCTTGAACAGTATTCGAAGTAAAAGAATAAAAAGTGATTAAATTTTTTCCTCAATGGCTCAATAATAGCTGAACTGAGAGTAAGTTGGTTTTTTTGTTAGAGTTTCTCGCCTTTTTTTTTTTTTTTGGCAACCTAAAGTTTCTCGCTTTTAGTGACAAACAATTACACCCATAACTTGACATAAAATACAAAAAAACATAACTTCCGGTGTAGTAGCATGGGTCAAGATGTAAGAGCATCTCCATGAGAGGACACTTAATTAACAAAACTAAGAAAAATTGGAGAGAGAGAGAGAGAGAGGGTGATAGTGTCTTTACACAGACACTTATTTGTCAGCTGTTTGTTTGTTAGTGATTCAAAATTTGTAAAATAAATAAATTATACTGACATATGGTTTTTGTGAAAATTCCATTTTAAAGAAAGAAAGAAAATAATAAGACATGTACCAATGTGATGGTCTAAGTAGCAATTAAAGAAAGAAACAAAATATGTGGCTGTGAGAGTCATCATCACTCATCACTGTCTTACACTCTTACTCTCTTTCTGGAGACTGGGAGGCGTATGTAAATATGTATGGTCTGTGAGCTGCTCTACTGACTTTTTCTCCTTTTATATCTCCCTCTTTTTTCCCTTTTGTGTTTCTTTGTGGATTCATCATGGTTTCTGCGATGCTCAACGGGGCCATCGCCATCACCTGCCCCAAGGGATTAGGGTTTCCTGGTTTCAATCTTCACTGCAGACCAATTCACCGGCCAAGTTTAGTCTCCGTGGCAACCAGATGCAGCGTGTCGGCGTCACGGCCGTCAGCGCAGCCTAGGTTCATACAGCACAAGAAAGAGGCTTACTGGTTCTACAGGTTCTTATCCATCGGTTACGACCATTTCCTCAATCCACCCCACTTTACGGAGGACATGAGGGACGAAGCTCTCGAGGCGGTGGATCTCAGCCATCCGGACATGCGGGTGGTCGACGTAGGCGGCGGAACAGGGTTCACTACTCTAGGCATCGTCAAGACAGTGAATGCTAAGAATGTGACGATTCTTGACCAGTCGCCACATCAGCTGGCCAAGGCGAAGCAGAAGGAGGCGTTGAAGGAATGCAAGATCTTGCAAGGAGATGCTGAGGATCTCCCTTTTCCTACTGATTATGCCGACAGATACGTTTCTGCTGGAAGGTATTCATAATTATGCAGTGCTTGCTACTTGTTCTTGTTCTTTTGTTTTGTTCTTGTTGCTGTGGGAATTAAATTGGGTGTTTGGATTTTGGGCAGCATCGAGTACTGGCCAGACCCTCAGAGAGGGATAAGAGAAGCGTACAGAGTTCTCAAGATGGGTGGGAAAGCATGCATCATTGGCCCTGTCTACCCAACCTTGAGGCTTTCTCGCTTCTTTGCAGATGTGTGGATGCTTTTCCCCAAGGAGGAAGAGTACATTGATTGGTTCACCAAAGCAGGTTTCAAGGACGTTCAGGTCAAGAGGATTGGCCCCAAGTGGTACCGTGGTGTTCGCAGGCATGGTCTTATAATCGGATGCTCTGTCACGGGTACCAAACCTGCCTCCGGTGACTCTCCTCTCCGGGTTTGCTTTCCTTTTCTCATCTATCTATCTACTTGACAGCTTTCTCCATCTCTGCTAAATTCTCGTTGAAAATGATCAGATTGGTCCAAAGGAAGAGGATATAGAGAAGCCTGTAAACAATCGCTTCGCCTTCTTGGGACGCTTTCTCTTAGGAACCCTAGCGGCTGCCTGGTTTATGTTGGTCACAGTCTACATGTGGATCAAGGATAAGATCGTTCCCAAAGATCAACCCATCTGATCTAGGACATGAAAGAATGTTATGTATGATTGTGATCCTTTCATGTGGTAGAGAAACGTTTTTTGTCCTATTTATGATAATAAAACCACATGTACTACTTGATTCCTTGTCGAGAAACTCATTTCTGCAAAAACATTTGTACTCTAAACTGGTACTTATAAGCCTATTCCTAGCAGAACCATAACTTTTAACAACCTGAAGTGACAGAGATTTGAGTGGAAACCTGCACACGAGCATGCAAATATAAATCCAACAAAGAGAAGCATAATGATATCTCTCTAGAAAAATACATTTCGCATGTCACAAAAATTACAGCAAGAATATGATGAATCCACAGTTCTAAGCATGGTAGTTCTCTGTAGTTGGAGTTGTGGTAAGTTTTTTTGTATATACTTACATTCACACATTGTTATAACAAAAAAAACTGTTTGCAATTCGCGGTATTTGTGCTAAATCATAGTCTTTCTATTTTCAGGCAATGGTTATTGGTTGCTCTTTACGAATGGGACCAATTCCATGGCTGATCATGTCTGAAAATTAAAATGTTTCTTAGTGAGCTGATATAATGTTTACTAATTATTATGTTGTCAAAACAGATTCTTCCAGTGAATATAAAAGGTTTAGCCGTAAGTATAGCAACGTTGGCTAATTGGTTCGTCGTCTCATGGTTAGTCACAATGACTGCAAATATGCTCTTAGCTTGGAGCAGTGGAGGAACATTTACTCTGTACGCTAATATATTGGAAATCCACTAAGTAACGGAACAACATAAGCACACAATTCCACACGCATTTCACCAATTATTTTGCAAATTCAGAACTAAAAATAAAATTGATTATTCTTTTAAAGCCAAATAATGGAACTTAGTTAATATCCATCATTTCATTATTTTTTCTTTTCATTACATTTACAGAAGTAAAATCTGAATACATGCATGAGAAATGTAACATAATTAAAATAACAAGTACGTAACGTTCTTTTTCTTAAGAGAAACAAGCATGGATGATGATGAGTCTCGATTCTCGATTCTCCAAGTTCCGCTAATAACGTAACGTAACCGGATACTTGTCAACACAAGCTTCCCAAGGATTGTTCTTGGAAGGCGTCACATTCCTCAACGCTTCCCAGACGGCGCTGTTGCATTTAAATCCACTCCCAAACGCAATTTGCCAAACGCGATCGCCTCTTCGCATCCTTCCTTTGGCCTCAATGTAAGCTAACTCATACCAAGTCGAGCTCGAAGATGTGTTCCCAAACCTATGAAGAGTCATCCTCGCAGGCTCTGCATGAACCGGAGAAAGCCCAAGACCCTTCTCTATCTCATCGATCACAGCTCTTCCACCAGCATGGATACAGAAATGCTCGAACGCAAGTTTGGAATCCGGAATATACGGTTTAACCTTACCGTTGAAAAGCTTCTTCGCAAGCAGAGTCGTAAAGTAGAGAATCTGCTCACTTACCGGAAGAACAAGAGGACCCAACGTAGTGAAATTGTCCTTGAGAGTTTCCCCTGCAATAGCCATTAGATCTTTCGACAAGAAAACCCCCTTTTTCCCGGCATCATCCTCTCTCTGATAAGCGCAACTGAAAGCTTTGTCGTCTGCTCCACGGTGAGTCCTGACGACATGCACGAGCCTGTACTTAGCCCGTCTCTTCTCCCTAGACTTGTTCGACAGAAAAACCGCAGCGCCACCGACTCGAAACAAGCAGTTCGGTACCAACATGGACTTGTTGTTACCGAAATACCCGTTGAGAGTAGTGTTCTCTGCCGAGACAACAACTGCGTACGTGTTCCTATGTAGCAACAGCATGTCTTTAGCAAGATCCACCCCGATAACTGATGCGCTGCAACCCATTCCGCCGAGGTTGAATGTCCTGATGTTACTTCTAAGCTTATACTTGTTCACAATCATCGCGATAACAAAGGTGTCGGGCAAAAGATACTACAGTTCACAACGAGGATCCCAACATCCTTGGGATCCACGTCAGTGTTTGCGAAAAGGTTGTCTAAAGCACCGAACATGACTTGTTCAGCTTCTTCTCTAGCAGCAGCCATTGAGATTCTGAATGGAACATGAATCATAGCTTCAGGGAGATACGTCTCTTCTCCTAAACCAGAGCGTTCGAGGATCATGCGTTGAAACTCGAGAGCATCGTATTAGATATAAGTGCATAGGAACCGGTTTACACTAACCATGTTGGTTATTGGATTAGATTAATGTACCGGGTCTATATAATATGTACGTTGTAAACAGTGAAAGTTAAGATGAATAACAGAAATCATTTCTACATTTTGCTCTTCTTCTTCGATTGAATCTTATCTCTAAGATGGTATCAGAGCTTCGAGGCAGAAACCTCGAACGATTCTTCTAAATTTCTTTTTCTTCCGCTTATTTGACCTCGATTTGATCGTTGATTCTCACGATCTCATCCTCTCTTATTCCGCGAAAGATTCTCTGGTCTTTTTCCCGGAAATCGCAAATTTCACGATATTATCTTCAGATTGAGCTTGGATCTTTGTTATAATGGTGGTCAGCCGCCGTATTACGCGTCACATCAACAGGACAAGCTCCTCAGCTCGCAAATCTCCAAATCCAGCAGATTCGGAACCTGAATCTCCGATTTCCTCCGGTTTTCTCACTATTTCACCGGATAGCATCCATTCGCCGTTCTATCTCACAAATGGCGATAATCCTGGTCTTTCTCTTATCTCGGAGGTACTCGATGGTTCTAACTATGATAATTGGCGTATAGCGATGAATATTGCCTTAGATGCTAAGAACAAAATCGCTTTCATCGATGGATCTATAGTTAGGCCTAATGAATCGGATCAATACTTCCGAATATGGTCTCGATGCAATTCAATGGTGAAATCGTGGTTGTTGAATTCCGTTTCTAAGGAGATCTACAAAAGCATTCTCAGATTCAATGATGCTTCTGAGATTTGGAAAGATCTATCAACTCGTTTTCATATCACAAGTTTACCACACTCCTATCAATTGTCTCAGCAAATTTGGTCTCTACATCAAGGATCGATGGATTTATCAACTTATTATACGAAGCTGAAGACTCTTTGGGATGAATTGGATGGTGCTTCTTGTGAGGAAACTTGCCATGATTGTAAGTGTTGCAAAGCTACGGATACTAAAGCTGAGCATTCACGGGTGATTAAGTTTTTGGCTGGCTTGAATGAATCTTATGCCATCATTAGAAGCCAAATCATCATGAAGAAACATGTTCCGATGCTTTCTGAGATCTACAATCTCTTGGATCAGGATCATAGCCAACGGAGTATCTTAACTGTCCCGAATGCTTCTGCGTGTCATATTGCTGCACCTGATTCCGTCCCAATCTCTCTGAACGCAACTCAGGCTGCACACTATCCTCAGAAGCAGAACAAGCCTCTTTGCAGTTATTGTGGCTACACTGGTCACACGGTTGAGACTTGTTTCAAGATACATGGTTATCCCCCTGGTTTTAAGCATAAATATCAGAAGAATGCTCCTGAAAAGACTACGTCTACGAAACCTCCTCAGCATTCCAAGCCAGTTGTTGCTCAAGTATCGGTTCCTTCTGCATCAACTGAGAACATTTCTGATACACTGAAGCTTCTTTCCAAAGATCAGATTCAGGGAGTCATCGATTACTTCAATTCTCAGCTACAACCGTCTATCAATCAACTCTCTACTGCTTCTACCTCTGGAGGTTTAATTACAACGCTACCGGGTATGGCTTTCTCCTCTTCGACACTACATTTTGTTGGTGCTTTACGAGCTACAGGTCATATTCTTAGCTCTGACTCCTGGATAATTGATAGTGGTGCGACTCATCATGTTTGTCATGATAAGAGTTTGTTTGAGGACATTTCTACTGCTTCAAACACCTCAGTAACTTTACCTACTGGTTTAGGTGTTCAAATTGCAGGAATAGGCAGAATCAAGATGTCTGAATATATGATTCTGAATAATGTTCTCTACATCCCAGATTTTCGTCTTAATCTCCTGAGTATCAGTCAGTTAACGAAGGATTTGGGATATCGAGTTTCTTTTGATCACTCTTCTTGTGTCATACAGGATCCTATCAAGGGATTGATGATTGGTCAGGGTGAAGAAATCTCAAATCTCTATGTGCTGGATGTTAGCTTGATCTTGAAGACTTCATCTCTAAGTACTAGTTTCTTCACAAATGTTGTTGTTGATTCATCTTTGTGGCATAATAGACTTGGTCATCCATCAGATTACAAGATAGATTTTGTCACTGATGTACTTGGAATCAAACAAAAGAATAAAAGACGTTTACCTTGTGCAATTTGTCCTTTGGCTAAGCAGAAGCATCTTTCTTTTGATTCCAAGAATAATATGTGTGCAAATGCATTTGATCTTTTGCATATTGACATATGGGGTCCTTACTCTGTTCCTACGGTTGATGGATACAGATACTTCCTCACTATTGTTGATGACCATTCTCGTGTAATATGGGTCTATTTGCTGCGTACAAAAGATGAGGTCCTCAGAGTCTTCCCTGATTTTTTAACGATGATTGAGAATCAGTTTCAGTGTAAAGTGCGTGGTGTGAGGTCTGATAATGCTCCTGAGTTGCGGTTTGATGCATTATACAAGGAAAAGGGTATCGTTGCATACCACTCGTGTCCTGAAACTCCAGAACAGAATTCAGTTGTGGAGAGGAAGCATCAACACATCCTCAACGTAGCAAGATCTCTCATGTTTCAAGCTAAGGTTCCTTTGGAGTATTGGGGTGATTGTGTACTTACGGCTGTCTTCTTAATCAACCGTTTGCCAACACCATTGCTCAAAGATAAGACACCTTATGAGGTTTTAAACGCCAAGAAGATTGATTACAAGGGTCTCCGCGTCTTTGGTTGTCTCGCCTTTTGTTCTACCTCTTCCAAGAACAGGACAAAGTTTCAACCTAGAGCTCGACCTTGCGTTTTTCTTGGTTACCCAGCTGGATACAAAGGATACAAGCTCCTTGATCTGGAATCTAACAAGATTCATATTTCCCGAAACGTAGTCTTTCATGAGGAGATATTTCCGTTTGCTACAGATCACAATGAGTCTTCCTTTGACTTTTTCTCGACAATGCCTAATTCCTCTTCATCTTCTAGTACTCCTTCAGTAGCTAATGGATTCCCTACAGTTGTGAGTGGTGATACTCCTGTAGTTGTGGATGATGATGTTACTATTGACAGTGGTACTAAGGAGGATTCAGTGCATCCTGTCGACGGTGAAAAGAAGAAAAGATCCCCCAAAACTCCGGCGTATCTCCAAGATTATTTTTGTAACATGCAGCAGGCTAATATCCCATATCCTCTAGCCAACTATCTCTCTTATTCTGAGCTGTCCGATGACTATAAGGCCTATATTTGCTCTGTTAATCTTCACGCAGAACCCAGCTCATTCAATCAGGCCAAGAAGTTTGAAGAGTGGTTACAGGCTATGAACGAGGAGCTTATGGCCTTGGAGAAATCCGATACATGGGAGATTTGTAGTTTACCTGATGATAAACATGCGATTGGATGTCGTTGGGTTTATAAAACGAAGTTGAATGCTGATGGAAGTTTAGAACGCTACAAAGCTCGTCTGGTTGCAAAGGGTTTTACTCAACAAGAAGGAGTTGATTTTGTTGATACTTTTTCCCCTGTTGCAAAGATGACCACCGTCAAGACGCTTTTAGCTGTTGCTGCTGCCAAGGACTGGAGTCTTACTCAACTTGACATCTCAAACGCTTTTCTAAATGGTGACCTTGATGAAGAAATATACATGACATTGCCTCCTGGTTACACTGCTAAACCTGGTGAATCCCTGCCTCCTAATGCAGTCTGTCGTCTCAAGAAATCTTTGTATGGCTTGAAACAGGCTTCACGGCAGTGGTTCTTGAAGTTTAGCTCGGTTTTGTTGAAATTGGGCTTTGCTAAATCACACGCTGATCACACTTTGTTTGTGAAAAATGTCAGTGGAAAGTATTTGGCTGTTCTTGTCTACGTGGATGATATTATTATCACAAGCAATTGTGATGCAGACGTTGATCAGCTTAAAGAGGATTTGAAGAAAGCGTTTCGCTTACGCGATTTAGGTGCTCTGCGTTATTTCCTTGGATTGGAGATTGCGAGATCCAAGAGAGGCATTTATGTATGTCAACGCAAGTACGTTCTGGAACTTTTGGAAGATACTGGTCTTTTGGCTTGCAAACCTTCAAGCATCCCAATGGATCTAAGTATCAAACTCGTTCAGGATTCACAGGAACCGGTTATTGATGATGTTAAGCTTTATCGCCGCCTTGTTGGAAAGATGATGTATCTTACTATCACACGTCCAGATATCACCTATGCCGTCACCAGATTGTGTCAATTTGCCTCAGCTCCTAAGCAGTCTCATCTTAAATCTGCTTACAAGGTGCTTCATTATCTCAAAGGCACAATTGGTCTAGACTTATTCTATTCTGCTGAATCCACTTTGGTGCTCACGGGGTTCACTGATGCGGATTGGATGTCTTGCCTTGATAGTCGTCGTTCAACTTCTGGTTATTGTATGTTTCTAGGAAACTCTCTCATTTCCTGGAAATCTAAGAAACAACAGGTGGTTTCTAACTCTTCTGCTGAATCTGAATACAGAGCCATAGAGTTTGCTTCTCGTGAAGTGGTGTGGCTGCGTAGTTTGGTTGAAGAATTACAGGCACCTCAATCTCAGCCTGTTGCTTTGTTCTGCGATTCTACTGCTGCCATTCACATTGCAAGCAATCCAGTCTTTCACGAGAGAACTAAGCACATCGAGAAGGATTGTCACTTAGTTCGTGATCGAATTGCTGCTGGACTTATCAAAGCTATACATGTTAGGACTGGTCAACAGCTTGCGGATGCCTTTACTAAGCCTTTGTTTCCGAACCAGTTCAATGCTCTCATGTCCAAGATGGCGTTAACTTCCATTTACTCGCCATCTTGAGGAGGGCTATTAGATATAAGTGCATAGGAACCGGTTTACACTAACCATATTGGTTATTGGATTAGATTATTGTACCGGGTCTACTTGAGATACACGCTTCGGGTTTGTCGGTTCTGTACTCCAACAGAACCACCACCACCACCACCGCCGATTCGTGACTCTCTGGCACCGTCCATGTTCAAGGGTGGCGAAGCACTGAGATTTAACTGAAAGAAAAAGGTATAAAAGAACGATCTTTAATTTATACGGAAGCCTAACCGGAGAATGCTGTGATTATCAAATCCAGGCGTCCTTTTTTTATACTGGAGCTGCTGAAAGGTACCCACCAAAACACAGACCTCTCAAATGCATTTATTTGAGGGCTGTCCACTTTCAGCGCCCACCACCTCACCAGAGACAGTGGCTGTGGCTGTGGCTGAGCCAGAAGTAAATTAGTTTTATTGACGATGACCCGAGATTTCATCGACATGTCCTACCAGAAAAAAAAAACGTGTTTACCCCTAAATTTTAATATTTTTTCAAAGCTTGAAACAACCCCTGAAGTTACATCGAAAGAAGAACAATCTAAAATCTGTACAAACTAAAGCAAGGAGACAATGTAGATATATCTCCAAGATGATCTCAGATCCTTGGTAAGAAGTCATATTCAGGTAACAGTAGCATCAATGTGAAAGGTTTAGCCTTTCCTGTTACGTCATCGTTTTCTCTGATCAAGCATTTTCATGGAGTAGCAATATTTCTCAATATTCACATTAAGAATTCATAGTAGAGCCTTTGGTGAAACAAAAGGGACAAACTTTGATCCATGAACATATAATTCTTGTTCTCGACGTAATCGAAACAATTTAAAACTATTTTATGATCCATCTATACCCAAAAAAAAAAAAAATAAAAAAATAAACATGGTTTACATCTGTTAATTTGTATTAGTTATTAACTGATGCAAAGTAATTTTACATCACCTAAAGAAATGACTAAAGTGATGATGCAAATAATTAACATGGGGTTAAATAATAAATGATGTTAATATGTATCACTTGTAAAAATGATGTTAATATGTAACATCAACTAATTTAGTATTGGTTTGTTTTGGTTATTTTAAATGATATCAAATATCTTCATCACTTGTAACAATAAAAGTGACAGTTAATTGGTTTTCTATATAGGAAGAAAATAGTGGATACATTCATCCCAAATTTCAGTCACAACTTACAACAATAAAAAATCTTGACAAGTTTTAATTAATATACATTATCAGATATAAGAAGTCTTCGTTTGCAAAAAGAATCATGGATCAACAACGTAACACTTGATAACCAAAAGAAAAGTATACTTGTATGAACTAAAAAGATATTGATAGAAGTAACTGGCCTCTTGTTGAACTCCTTCATCGTGAGAATTTTCTCTTTTTTTTCTTTCTTGGCTTGTCCCTTCCATTTGCAGAAGAAAGGTTGTAAGTTGGTGCGTGATAAGAGAACCCATATATCTTTGAAACATTTGAAAATTATTAGTGTTGAGGTACCTTTACTATCCCAATATGTGTAGGCATGGCTCTTAGTTCCCAATATCATTATCTCTAAACTGAATTTCTTAGTCACCATTCATGGCAGCTTTTGGAAGATTTGAAGAATATTGAAATCAAAATAACAAAGCAGAAAGTAAGATACCCTTCAGAAACATAGAAAAAAAAAGGACTAAGAAATATATTTGAAGGTTTTGAATGTTTTCATAGGAGATGTGTGCTTCATATTACTCCCTCCATTTAAAGCTATTACTCTCCCCGTTTCATCTTAGTTGTCGTTTTGAAAAAAAGTATCTACAATGGAGTATAACATTAAGAAAGATAGTCGACGAGTAATAAGGGTTATGAATAAAAAAAAATCTAAAATTCTTAGTTGTTAGTTTTTAAGGAAATATGGGGATCTTACTATAAAAGATTTATCTAATATCATTTTTAAATTAATTATGATTTGATAGCAATATTTTTAATTGAATTTGATAGAATAGACATAGAAAACATAGATTGAGGTTTTAGAAATACCTTAAATAATTTAATGGATGTCAGCAGCCCATTCTTATTCTGTTATTAGGAATCCAACTCAAATAATTTATTTCAAAATCTAGATTTAAAAATGTGGCCAATGATTTGCTGCAAATTCAGTGGAAGTGATGGTTTGCATTATTGCCTATCCATATTCCGTTAGAAGTTGAGATTCTCCATCACAATTTAATCATACACAGAGTACAATCTATACAGTTATCAGTCACCACTTCCTTTTTTTTTTCCTGTGGTCAAACTATACAGTAAATTCACATTCACATTCACATTTACTAAATTACATGATGAGCGCATTGAGCTAATTTAGTTAAAGCCCATTGGGCTTTATTACTGATCTGTTAGATTTTTTTTTTTTGCAAATCCCCGTCACCCACCCCTCCGGCTAGTCTCGCCAAAATCGGACAAAGCTCTGATTTGTTATTACCAAAATTCGCCGGTGAGAAATCTAAGATTTGTTAGTCAGTTCTAATGATTTTTAGATGGCTCATTTCGACCAATTCCGTAAAGTTTCTTCTTTAAGCAGCTTTTCCAATCTGGGTAGTGTACTGCAAATTTCCCACTAACTCGAGCTCTAGAATCGTTGAAACTCGCATAGATCCTGGTTAATCTGTTATTGTAGCTCTACGGTTTGCTTAGCTTTAAGAAATTCTTGGTTCCCGAGCTTTTTAACAATTTTGGCTAAAGTGGTCTCTACTGTTCAGAGGCTTTACTGTGAGATTTCAAACGACAGAGAGAAATGGGGATTTGGTCATTTCGCGCGCTGGATTAAACAGCCACGAGGGGTTTGGGTGAAGATAGTGTTCATACCTGAATATGACTTTATTACCAAGGATCTGAGATCATCAGTGCGAATGGCTAGTTTATTTTGTACAGATTTTTACCGTATGTAACTTCTGTCGGTTGTTTCAATCTTGGTAAAGATTAATTGAACATGTTATGCTTTGCCAATATCTGTGGTTCCTGTACTGTGTTGCACAGTATTTTGTTTATCTTGCTAAATTTGCCAGAGAGATTTCATTCTACTAAAGGCTTCGGCGTCTTTATTAGCTTCTCTTTGTTGGATTTACATTTGCAAGCTCGTGTGCAGGTTTCTACTCAAATCTCCGTCACCTGAGGCTACGTTTGGTTTGATATCTCATCTTTTGTGTAGGGTTGTTAAAACTTAAAAGTTATGGTTCTGCTAGGGATAGCTTAGGTAGTACCAGTTTAGAGTACAAATTTTTTTGAGTTTCTCGACAAGGAATCAAGTAATACATTTTATTATACATGTGGTTTTATTATCATACACATGAAAGGATTACAATCATACATCATTCTTTCATGTCCTAGATCAGATGGGTTGACCCTTGGGAACGATCTTATCCTTGATCCACATGTAGATTGGGATTACCAAGTACCAGGCAGCCGCTAGGGTTCCCAAGAGGAAGCGTCCCAAGAAGACGAAGCGATTGTTCACAGGCTTCTCCACATCCTCTTCCTTTGGACCAATCTGAGCATTTGCATTTTCAACGAGAATTTAGCAGAGATGGAAAAGGCTGTCAAGTAGATAGATGAGAAAAGGAAAGCAAACCTGGAGAGGAGAGTCACCGGAGGCAGGTTTGACACCGGTGACAGAGCATCCCATGACAAGGCCGTGCCTGCGAACACCACGGTACCACTTGGGGGCAATCGTCTTGACTGAACGTCCTTGAAACCTGCTTTGGTGAACCAGTCAATGTACTCTTCCTCCTTGGGGAAAAGTATCCAAACATCAGCAAAGAAGCGAGAGAGCCAGAAGGTTGGGTAGAGAGGGCCAATGACACATGCTTTCCCACCAACCTTGAGACTCTGTACGCTTCCCTTATCCCTCTCTGAGGCTCTGGCCAGTAATCGATGCTGCCCCAAAATTCAAACACCCTAGAAACAAGAAACAAATTTAGCAATAAGAATGCATAATTTGAATACCTTCCAGCAGAAACGTATCTGTCGGCATAATCAGTAGGAAAAGGGAGATCCTCAGCATCTCCTTCCAAGAACTTGCATTCCTTCAACGCCTCCTTCTCCTTCGCCTTGGCCAGCTGATGTGGCGACAGGTCCAGAATCGTCACGTTCTTAGCATTCACTGTCTTGACGATGCCCAGAGTAGTGAATCCACTTCCGCCGCCAACGTCGACCACCCGCAAGTCCGGATGGCTGAGATCCGCCGGCTCGAGAAATGCGTCCCTCATGTCCTCCGTATGGTGCATTGACGGAGGAAGTCGTAACGATGGATAAGAACCTGTAGAACCAGTAAGCCTCTTTCTTGTGCTGTATGAACCTAGGTTGCGCCAACGGCCGTGACGCCGACACGCTGCATCTGGTTGCCACCGAGAGTCTCGGCGTTGGGGAACGGAGACTGAATTGGGCCGGTGAATTGGTCTGCAGTGAAGATTGAAACCAGGAAACCCTAACCCTTGGGGCAGGTGATGGCGATGGCCCCGTTGAGCATCGCAGAAACCATGATGGATCCGCAAAGAAACACAAAAGAAAAAAAGAGGGGAGATGTGGAAGTCAGTAGAGCAGCTCACACTCACAGACCATACGTATTCTATTTACATACGCCTCCCACTCCCAGAGAGAGAGAGAGTGATGAGTGATGACTCTCTCACAGCCACATATTTTTTCTTAGACCTTGACCCATGCTGTGGAGTGTGGAGCAGGGGAGTTATGTTTTTTGTATTTTGTGTCGAAAGCGCGACAATTTTTGTTGAAACATATCAATCAGAGTATTAATATGTGACGATATTATTAAGGATGTGGATCCAAGATGTCAGCCTAATTAGAATGCGAAAATCGAGAGAAACTGAAACTATATCAAGGTTTAATAATGTTTTTGTTCGGTACTGTCAATCAATAGTGGCACCATTTTGGTCTGATTCCATGAATTGGATTCCCCAAAAAAAGAGCCAAAACAACTATGAACAACATCTTCACCAGATTAACCGTAGAGCGACAATAACAGATTAACCAGGATCTATGCGAGTTTCAAGGGTTCTAGAGCTCGAGTCAGTGGGAAAATTGCAGTACACTACCCAGATTGGAAAAACTGCTTAAAGAAGAAACTTTACAGATTTGGTCGAAATGAGCCAGCTTAATATCATAAGAACAGAATACCAAATCTCAGATTTCTCACCGGCGAAGTTTGGTAACAACAAACCAGAGCTTTGTCCGATTTTGGAAAAAGAAAAGCCAACACCGGCGAGACTAGCCGGAGGTGACGGGGATTTGCGATTTTTTTTTGGTAACAGATCAGCAATAAAGCCCAATGGGCTTTAACTAAATTAGCTCAATGTGCCCATCATGTAATTTTAGTGAATGTGTGAGTTTTAGAGTTTGACCACACGAAAAAAATAAGTGATAAGTGATAAGTGATAAGTGATAACTCTATAGGCAGCGATAATTGAACCTCGTGTATTTAAAGTTTCAAGCAAATTAGGAAATTAAATTGTGATGGAGAATGTCAACTACTCAACTTCTAACTAAATATGGATAGGCAATATATGTACTCCATCCCCTGCACTAGATTCATTTGCCACATTTTTAAATCCAAATTTTGAAAGAAATTATTTGAGCTGGATTTCCAAAAATAGAAAAAAGATATGGGTTGCTGACATCCAATTTAAATGATTTAAGGTATTTCTAAAACCTCAGTCTATGTTTTCTTTGTCGATTCTACCAAATTCAAAGAAAAATAATAATTGCTCAAACCATTTATTAGACTTTTATATTTTAGGATAACTCTATTATATTCATATCCCCATATTTTTTTAAAAACTAAAAAATAATATTATTAGATTTTCTTTTTTATTCAGCACCTTTATAATACTCTCGCTGACTATCTTTCATAATGTTATTCTCCCTCCGTTTCATATTAAGTGTCACTCTGACATTTTTCACACAAATTAAGAAAGTAGTTCAAATTTTAGTTTTACCCTTATTTAACTATTAGAATTCTATAGTATTTAATATCTTTTCTTATTTAAATATGGGTAAAACAGATAAACTAATATTAAAAAGTGCATTAATGTCAGAAAATGACACTTATTTTATAACAAAAAAATGACACTTATTACAAAACATAGGGAATAATATCTTGAAAAAAAAGTTTTTAAAATAATCTTATAGACTAAGCAGACATCTCCGAAAACATTTAAAACCTCCAAATATTTTTCTTAGTCTTTTTTCTTTCTTTCGCGTATCTTAATTTACTCCTTTATTATTTTGATTTCAATATTCTTCAAATCTTCCAAAAGCTGCCATAAATGGTGACTTAGAAATTCAGTTTAGAGATGATGATATTGGGAATTAAGAGCCATGCCTACACGAATTGGGATAGTAAAGGTACCTCAACACTAATAATTTTCAAATATCTCAAAGATTCATGGGTTCCTTATCACGCACCAACTTACTACCTTTCTTCTACAAATGGAAGGGACAAGCCAAGAAAGAACAAAAGAGAAAATTCTCACGATGAAGGAGTTCAACAAGAGGCAAAATCCTACTTCTATCAATATCTTTCTAGTTCATTTGTGTACACTTTTCTTTTGGTTATCAAGTGTTACGTTGTTGATCCATGATTCTTTTTGCAAACGAAGACTTACTTATATCTGATAATGTATAAGTAAAACTTCTCAAGATTTTTTATTGTTGTAAGTTGTAAAAGAAATTTGGGATGAATGTATCCACTATTTTCTTGGGGAAATTACCAATTCTAGACCACAATTTAATTTTTTCTAGTCAACTAGACCACAAATTGAATCAAATGCAAAACTAACCTCTATGGGTAGTAAAATTACCCCACACTCCCTCATGACCAAACAAAAAAACGCATGCCTCGATTACGATTTTAACCTCCGGACCAGGTAGATCTACCGCGAGATCTACTGGTAGACAATATTAGAGGTCTACCTCGTAATAACATCTTAAATTTTAATTAACAATTCAATAAAAAATATTTTATACAAAAACAAGTATGAATAATTATAATATAGACATTATCAACTACCAAAAATATAAATGCATACAAATGAATCATTTATAGATAAGCAAAGACATGTAGGTTAATATCTATAAAAATGTGTGAGGTCTACCGAGTAAGTCTACTATGTCATTAAATTTTAATTTTAATTATAAAAAAAAAAAATATTTTGATGAAAATTATTTATACATAAATACAATACAGACAACTTGCATCTATATAAAATATAATTTCATAGATTTGAACCAATTGAACTATGAAAAAAACAAATTAGGTTAAAAGCCTATAAAACCATGAGAGGTCTACCAAGTAAGTCTACTAACTAATCAAATCTTAAATTTAAATTAAGAAAATTTAAAAAATAATTTGAAATATTTGTTTCACAAATAACGAAATAATAGACATTTAACATATATTAAAAATAAAATTTCAGAAAAAATCATGAATCTATAAATATCATATGTAAATAGTTCATAAGGATAAGAGTTTGAGTAGATTGTTTAGGGTTTAATGGTGTAAGTTGTAGGGTTTTGAAAAAATTTAGATGAATAATTGTTTTTGATTGGTTTTACGATTCAATGTTTGTTTATTTGTGATATACACTGTAAATTGACAATATGGCAAGCAAATCGTTGCAAAATTGTATCTAAATTATTCGATTTAGGGTTTAGGGTAAAGTAGACCTAACAAGTAGAGTAATAGAGTAGACCGCAAGTGGAGGTCTACCAACCATTTTAACCTAGCGGGAATCCAAGTTTCAAACCAAAACGGCGGGAACCGGAAATTTCGTGGTAGACTGTAAAGGTAGACCGCAACCGTAGACCTCATTAAAGGCTTGAACCGAGATTAATTGAACCAAAATTAAATTTTGAACCGGAATTTTCTACTTAAACCGGATAATTTATCCCAGTATAAAAAAAAAAAAACCCTAATTTTGTTAAAAAAAATCTCTTCTCTCTCTCGCCGCGCTCTTTCTCTCTCTTGCCGCCTCTCTCTCTCGCCGTGAATTGTGGCCACTATCTCCCTCTTGCCATCTTCTTCTTCTTCTTCTTGGCCTAGTTTACTCTCTCCATGGCTCGAGTTTCGAGGAGCCGCCGACGAAGTTTCGAAATGAGCCTCCGCCTCCGGCTCTGCCTCCCGTCCGACCTGTCTCCACCTTCTCGGGCTTCCCCGAAGAACCGAGTTCTAGTCTCCGTCGGCGGACGTCCACACCGTCGAGATATTTCTCGGCCTCCTCCATCCTTTCTCATCCATCTCAAGCCGCCGTCGGTGGCACTGGTAAGCCATTTATCTTCTCTCCATAACAGATCTAAATCCGATTTGAGCCACAACATGACATATTGACCTATTTTTCTGGATCTGAGCGCCAAAGAAGCTTTAGAGGATGTAGGGTTCGAGCATAGAAGAGAATGAAGCGGAGGAGAATGGTGGGATAAGTTTCGTGAAACAATTCTTCGGAAGTTTCGCTTCTGTAAGTTTCTCCTCTTCTTCTCCAACATCAACTATTTCTCTTCTTATCACCTTGTTGTGTAGATTTTAGTCAGATCTGTAATAACTGTTGTTCTTGGTTTGCAGGTGTAGCTCCTCTTCGCCCTCTCCTCAACCAGGTCCGGTCAAGCCTTTGTTAAACCCACCGAATCCAAACAATGGAAAATTAGAGGTACTACTTAATTTTTGCGGATTTGGTTATATTTTGGGACAATGCATGCTCAAAATCAGTTTTTTTTTTTTTTGCGGATTTGTTATGTCGTGTTTCTGTTCTTAGAAGTTTAAACAAAAAAATGTGTTATATGTTCTAATTAATTTGAGTTCTTTGTTCTAAACAACTTTTGTTCTATGAATTTTATTTCTGATTTGTATTTGATATGGAAATTAGGTGGGGAAAAAGGATGGCTTTGGTCGAAAGGTCCAAGAAATTCTCTGCGGATTTTTGTGATATGAGCTTCTGCAGCCATTGATGCTAAATCTGCAGTTGCTCCAATCGAAAGAGAGGTATGAATTTTGCTTTGCTTTTATATCTCTGTTGCATTTGTACGTGTGTGTATAATCCTCTTTGTAACCTCTTCTTTGACTTGATGTTTTTCTGTTAAAAGGGCTATCTTAACAGATAGTGAAGAAGTGTGAGCAAAGCTAGAGCTAGAGCCTATCGCCCTGTTTTCTTCAGAAAGGCTGGTTAAAACTTACACAGCCACTGAAGGAGAACTCGGAGAGGTAGGAGAAGGCACAAGCCATTTCAACATTTTGTCGGAGATCTAAGTCCAGAGGTTGCAGCATTGTTTGATAGCTTTCGGTAAGTCATTATGCTTAATCAACTGCTTTAGTGACTAGTTTAATTTCTTTCGTTTTTTTTTGCTTTGGTCTTGTTGAACTTTTGTTGATTTGGATTTGAGTAAGACTCACGTTTTACAGTTGGTGTTGCACTGGTTAATGAATATGCTTCCCGATCAGTGGTTGTAGAAGTAATCCTCTCATCATGAACACTTTCTATCTAGACGTCTAAAGCTTCAAGCTTTTTCCTTCCCCGATGCCAAACAAGCCTCCTAATTCTGTTCAGATCCGAACCGAGAGAATAGAGGTAAGCCCGACTGATGTTTGTTTACCGATCTGGAGCTGTTATCATTTCTTTTTTTCTTGATTTTAATTATGAAACGCTTGAAGGCTAAGCCTTGATAACCTTTTGAAACCAATTCTATTGTAACAGGACAGAAGGTCTCCCCAATCAGTATGCCGTCGATGGTGACTAATGAGATGGCAATTGATATTTCATATGCTTTTGGATTTGAGTTTTTTTTAGTCTAAAAGCTTTTGGATTTGAGTTTTTTTATTTATTTTTGTGTCAGTTTTGATTGTAAGACCTTGTTGCCTCTCAGATTTTTATTAGTATTTTCATGCTTAGTCTTCTTTGTCATTTGCATTTCTCATCATATCAAACTTGCATATCAGATTGGAAACTTGCATAAAAAACTTGAACACAACATAAAGTAGACCTACTACGTAGATCTCAATGGTAGATAGCATTAGTAGATCTTATTATCAGTCTACTTCTGTGTAGTAGACCTCATTTCAGTCTACCTTTTCAGTCTACCTTTCCAAAGTAGACTTATTTTCAGTCTATCTCTGTGTTGTTCATCTACATCAGTTCAAAATCCAATTTTTAAAACTCATGTAATAAAAAAACAGAAACCATGAACACACTGTGAGTTGTCATTAGCTTACGCAATGAAGGCGGATATGTCCCGGTTGCTGCACTTCGAACAACTATAAACTCTATCAAGCTATGAACCTGCCATCGTTGGTGATGTACATATGAGGAAAGTCTGAGGGCATTTCACATCTGGTAATGGATAAGATAATTCCACCATGTCTGCTTCCATATCCAACATATAGTCAGCTTGTTCCATTCTAAGAGGCTTTATGTGTACAACCATCCCGTAAGTAGAACATTCTCCCTCCTTTTCCTTTGTCCATCTCAAAATGCCATGACTTGTCTTCCATCACCATCCATTTTCCATAAACGGAAGCTAGACAAACCATTACCTGCAACAAAAACAAACCAGATCCACAAAATGATTAGTAGACAGAAGGCGTAGACCGACAAGGTAGACCCACAATTTGGTCTACCAGAAAAATTAAGCTAGATACCTAATTCAAAAGAAAACCGAATATAACCTTAATTACGCCGAAAGAACATTTCAAACTCACACAGAAGCAAGTAAACAAATAAAAACAACTAATGTTCGAGAAAATTTCAAAATATTTGATATATTGAAAGGAAAACGACATTTTAAAAAACACATAATAATAGACCTAAAACGTAGACGTTCGGAGTAGACGTTCACGGTAGACCTCCACTTAGGTCTACTCCACGTGGACGGCCACGTGGAGGGTTAGTTTTGCAATTGATCGAGAAAAATGTTTTTTTGGAGGTCTACCTTGTCGGTCTACTACACGTGGAGGGTTAGTTTTGCAATTGACCAAACGTTGACTTTTACACGAGGTCTACCGTGTACGTCTACCAGAAAACGTAGACCTCTCAATCGGTCTACCAAAAAAAGTAGACCTCTGAATTAGTCTACGCCTTAGGTCTACCTACCGAAAACAGTTTGTTTTGCCGTTGACTCAAGTTTGACTTTCCTCGGGTAGACTTCCGTGGTAGACCTCAGTTTTTTGCGTTGACCAGTAGACCTCAACTGCGGTCTACCGATGGTAGACCTACACGGTAGACCTCAATGTCGCAAAATCTCTCCTTTTTGAGGAAAGTCAAACTTGAGTCAACGGCAAAACCAACTTTTTTTTTTAGGTAGACCTAAGAGGTAGACCTCCGAAAAACATTTTTCTCTATCAATTGCAAAACTAACCCTCCACGTGGAGTAGACCGACAAGGTAGACCTAAAAAAAAACATTTTTCTCAATCAATTGCAAAACTAACCCTCCACGTGGAGTAGACCTAAGTGTAGGTCTACCACTCATTTTTTTTGTTTGCAAAGGAAATGGCACAGTCAACTCTGCGTTGACCAGTAGACCTAAACTGAGGTCTACTATGTAATGGTAGACCTACAATTCAGTCTACCTTCGCAGACCAAAACTGAAATTCTTAAATTTTGAAAGAAAAGTTACTGGCCGTCGGAGAAAGCTCTTCGGGTTGATAACTTCAATTTATGTCTTCAATTACGAGTTCCGGTCATCACTGTAAGCTAAACAATTGGAAATGCCAAGACCCAAGATTTGAGTTTTCTTTTAAGTTTTTGGGATGAAAATGGAGAGAAAATGGAAAGAATAAGAGTTTGTGAGATGAAAGAAGGAGCAATGCTAGCTCCAAAGTGAGTTTTCAGAGCATTAACAGCTCCAAATTGGGTAAAAATGGTGGTTGTCAACATTGATGATATGGCTTTTTGGCAATTAAATGTAGAAGATGAGGGGTGTTTGGTCTTTCAGCAGATCTGGTAGACCTAAATATCGGTCTACCAATCGAAAAAGTAATGGCATTTCGTAATTAATTGGAAAAAACTGGACAAACTTAAAATGAAAAAAACAGGATTTTGCATTTGACCACAATTTTGGGTCTAGAAGTGAAACAACCCCCTATTTTCTTCCTATATTGAAAACCAGTTAACTGTCACTTTTATTGTTACAAGTGATGACGATATTTTATATCATTTTAAATAACCGAAACAAATTAAACCAATACTAAATTAGTTGATGTTACATATTAACATCATTTTTACAAGTGATACATATTAACATAATTTATTCCTTAAACGGATGTTAATTATTTGCACCATCACGTTTATACAAGTTGATGTAAAACACGTTTTTTTAAGTGCATGATCATCATTTCTTTTAAGTGATGTAAAATTACTTTGCATCAGTTATAGGTAATAAAATTATAAAAATTAACTGATGTAAAACACGTTTTTTGTAGTATAGATGGATCATATAATAATTTTCAGTTTAATAAAAAAAATTATCAAAGTTTAAATTGTTTCGATTACGTGGAGAACAAGAATTCTATACTCATGGAATCAAAGTTTGTCCCTTACTCCCTTTTGTTTCCCTAGAGGCTCTTGCGTGAATTCTAAATGTGAATAATGAGAGATCTTGCTACTCCATGAAAATGCTTAATCAGAGAAAACGATGACGTAACACGAAAGGCTAAACCTGTCACATCGATGCTACTGTTACCTGATGACTTGAATATGACTTTTTACCAAGGATCTGAGATCATCTTCGATATATATCTACATTGTCTTCTTGTTTTAGTTTGTACAGATTTTACATTGTTCTTCTTTCTATTGAACTTTTGTCGGTTGTTTCGAGCTATGAAAAAGATTAATTTAGGGGAAAACACGTTTTTTTTTGTAGTATATATCGATCACATAATAGTTTTAAATTTAATAAAAATAATGTGACCCAAAAATAAAATTTATTACTATGGCTCCGCCTGTGGGGGGCCGTCAAATAAATGGGTCATCGTCAATATAATTAACTTACTTCTGGCTCAGCCACAGCCACTGACTGTGGTGTGGTGAGTGGCGTTAAAAGTGGGCATCCCTCAAATAAATGCATTTGAAAGCCATGGATGGTTGGTGGGTCATCGTCAAAGTCGTGTCCTTTCAGCAGCTCAAGAATAAAAAAGGACGCCTGGATTGGATAATCACAGCATTCGATCTTTATACCTTATTCTATCAGTTAAATCTCTGTCCTTGGCCACCATGGACGGTGCCAGAGAATCACGAATAGGTGGTGGTGGTGATGGTTCTGTTGGAGTACAGAACCGACAAACCTGGAGCGTGAACCTCAAGTTAGGTTACCATTCTCAATGTGAATAATGAAAGATCTTGCTACTCCATGAAAATGCTTGATCAGAGAAAACAATGACGTAACACGAAAGGCTAAACCTTTCACATTGATGCTACTGTTACCTGAATATGACTTCTTACCAAGGATCTGAGATCATCTTCGAGATATATCTACATTGTCTCCTTGCTTTAGTTTGTAC